CTAGTAAACCCCCAGAGATCATTCTCTAGTACTTTTATTGCTAAGAATTTTTTCCCATCTTAATAAGATTTTAATACTTCACTTTTTTTTTTTTTTTTTTTTTTTTTTTGTAGGTTTAAAAAAAATGCTGTTCTGCTTATTTGAACATAATTAGCAACACCATTCTCTTCTAGTTTGGAAAGAAATATACTCGGAAAAGCCCTCCCTCTCCTTTTTGTTTTTGTTCATCAAGGCATTAAAGTTAATAAGTGTACTGTCAAGCAAAAAACATAAAAAAAAACGTTCAAAATTAGCAAACATATTTCCCGATTTTTTTTCACCTTATTGTTGATAAAGTTGGTTCAAATTGTTATATATTAGCCCATTTAGATGTGTGTGAAGTTATATATTAAATTTTTTAAAACTTACCTTTAAAAAAAATTTAAGTAAGATATAACAAAACATTTTCTCATACTATCTGTATGTAAAAATGTATGTTTGTATATATATGACCTCGCTTCACTTCAACACCGTTCTACCGATCACTATGAAAATTGGCATGCATATGTATTTTCTTGTGTAGAAGGTTTTTGTGCTATCCTCTTTGTTGCAGCACCCCACCAGGTGGCGCTGTAGCATATAAACTTCTGCACCGTTCAATCAATCGCCAAGTTGCCCACATGGTCGCAAAAAATGATGCTAACTTGGCTCTATCGACAACATTTCGCTATGTTTCCATTGAATCGCCATTATAATGTAAGGAACGGCGTTGCTTGCGAATATTACAAATTTAACATAAAATAAATACAACAGAAAGTAGTATTAACGTATTACACATCTAGATATAAATTATTTACACTATTTAAAGCGTTCATTGGACAAAATTTGTAACAATGTGTTACTTTTGCTGAGCAGAGAACAGCTTAGGAAGGTGGTTTCAAAAACTTAAGAGGCGTTATAAATTTAAAAAAATTCTTTTTATCAACTAGTATAGATCTACAGACTTAAAATTTATAAAATGTGGTTCTTTTTGGTTCAACTAAAATATGCAAAAAGCTTTTTTTTTTTTTTAAATTTGCAATTCAAGTAAAATTAACTCGTTAAAAACTTCTTTATCCTTCAATCTGTTTTGTTTCATTTTTCAATTCACCCGTGTGAAGAACGGGTATACCAGCTAATAAGAATATAAATTGCATTCATGTGAAATAGAAAATATAATATAATAACCAGTACAGTAACTGATTGGAATATCTTTATAAACTCATATATATGCTCTCTCTCAACTCAGTAGAGGAATAACCCAGTGTTTAGTTTCCAAGCAAAAGGTTGGTACTCATTTATCGATCCACAGAAGAGATAAAAGACTGAGTCTACCCTGCCCAGCCCGGAGGTTTGAAGCCCGATCCTGTGGTGTGAAGACGCGATACGTTACCACTCGGCCACTGTTTTTCTCATATATTTACTCTAATTTAATATTTAATCTACTAAAATGCAATATTATAAAATAAATCATTTTTCTTTTCTGCAGTATTGAAAATTAGTTAGTGATTTTTCCAAGATACTTAAGTCATAATTTAAAAAAGGTTTCAAAAAAAAATTTATTCATATTACGTTTTTACAAAAATAGAAAATTACAAGTAGTTCAAAAATAGTCCAAGCCGTCCTTTTTGCGCACTTCAGGTACTCGAAGTACGCAAACAATCTCAGAAAAATAAAAAAAATTAATAAATAAATGGAACATTTACGAAGAAATAAAAAATTTGTAAATATTGGAAGAATTTAAAGCAGTTTTTTATTTTTTAAAAAAAAGTGAGAATTCTGGATAGAATCTAGTTATTTTAATTTAGTCAAAACTTCCATTTTCGAAGAGAATATTCGAAATATGCATTTCGAATTTCAAATATCTTTGTGGGAGAGACTCGTCTGTTTATTTTTTTAACTTAAAAGAGAAAAGTTTTCAGCTTTTACTAAGCCTCAAGGAAAACTTTGATAATAAACATTCACAAATTCTACTTTCATAAAAAAAATTTGCACATTTCAAGAAAAAATGTTCAACAAATTTCATTGCGATTCAACTTTATTTTAAAGTTTGAAAAGAGTAAAGAGAAAATTGTGTATATAAAATCTAGGAATTTTAATTGATTGCTTCAAAATAGAAATAGTTATAATTAATTTATTCTTTTGATTTATATCTAGATTTCGACGATTTATAGGACACAAAAATAGCAGTGAGTCAATAAATAATATTTATTTTTTTTACTTATATGCATTTATTCATTATGCCAAGGTAAAGAAATTAAACTGATTAACACAGCATAGATATTCATTAAATGCTGTTTGACATTTGTAATATATTTTTTGTGAGCTGTGATTGAATAGCAAATAAAAAATAGTTATATGTTAATCAAATATTTCTGCGCATGGAAAATATCCTCAGTTTTTCAAAATATGAAAACTGTGATAGAAACAACAATTTTAGTTTATTATTGAGTATTTTAAACTGGTGGAGTCAAGTTAAGGAAATTTTCATATTTATTATGAATTTTTTTTTTTTTTTTTTTTAAAAGTGCATGAACAAAAGGTACAGCTAATGCTTTCGATGAAGAAAGCTCATTTTAAGTGTCGATTACGAAAGCATACACAGAGCGCGGTGACCGAGTGGTATAGGTATCGGACCGTGGCTTGCCTTGTCACGAGTTCGAGCCCAGTACCACTAAAGATCCGCCGTGTAGAACAGCGATGCATGCTAATTCTGTTGAGAGCTGAAACGTCCTCCCGTTGGTGTGGTAGTTAGGAGAGGGGGGAACAGTGCGACGTTAATATTCAATCAATCGTGTTTTCGGGAAACTCCATTCTTAGAAGTAAATATATTAAAATAATGTTTAAGATATCCGACTACGTTCGAAACCATGATTTTAAAAAAGCCCCTAAATGGATAATTTTCATGATATTTAATGTCACTCAGATTAGAATACATGCATAAAAAATTGTCTTAAGGACATTTTGACGAAAAAAATTACTTAGATACAATATTTTGGCACAAAATTAACTTAGAATAATCTTTTTTCAAAATGTTCTCCTTTTGCGAAAAATGCTTCTATTATAATAATAATTTGCCTGTATATAGTTCAGACCTCTCTACAGAGGCTCAACTAGAATTTTTGAAAAATTCACATTATTTTCAGAGTTACCACCAATTCAAATAATTATTGGCGTTTTTTTTCTTAAAATTGCTTCCCTCTGTTGTCGTAAAATATGGATAAACCCACTTCTAAGTTATATATTTCAAAAATTCTAGTTGAGCCTCTGTAGAGAGGTCTGATCTATATACAGGCATATTATTATATAATAGAATCATTTTTCACAAAAAAAGAACATTTTGAAAAAAGGTTATTCTAAGTTATTTTTTTACCAAAATATTGTATTTAAATAAATTTTTTTGTCAAAATGTCCATAAAACAATTTTATAAGTGTATAAAATTGTACGTATTGTAAAATACGTACTCTAATATATATATATATAAGTGACACTATATTTCAGGAAAATTATCCATTTATGCACTTTTGCAAAATCACGGTTCCGAACGTAGTCGGATACCTTAAAGCAGATGAACATATTACACGGTACTTAATATAAAGACAGTTAAAAAAGTGTTGTATTGGATGCAAATTTGATGTATATGAATATAATTTATCCATTAATAATATTAATTTGTGATCTAAGTGTCTCCTACCTTCGTATTGCATTTAGTAACTAGGATACGGGCTTTCATATTTTTGCATATACTGTCAAATTCTAGGTCTATTGAAATTATCTGTAGTTGCATTTCATATTCTGCGTTTAATTTGTTTTCATATTTTGTTTTTGTAGCTACTCAAGTTAAAAAGTATTTTTCACTTAAATACTACGTTCTTAATGGCATTAAAATGTTTATAGATGTGTGAGAGAAATTCAATGCATTTTTCATGAATTTTCAACTTAATATTTAGAAACTGTTCTTGTTTAAATTTTAATGTTGAATGTTTTGACATATCGATAGAAGTTGTTCCTTCTCTTTCATAATGGCCTTTTTTTCAACAAATGAAAAAAAGGTGCAATTTCCATTTGAAAACTATTTAGTTTGGCAACATCGTGCAACAGCATGCATTGTACTAGCCAATATAAAATTATTTCGCGGAAAATTCATGGTAATAAAAATTATAACATTCAAAATCTAATAGATAGAAATAAAGAAAAAACGTTTTAATATTCTTTTATATTGCAATAAAAAGCCAAAGTATTACGAAATAAAGTTATGTATAAATAAAATTTTCAGTTTTTATTACTGGGACGAGTTTTAGATACTTGTGGTTATACAAACTTCATAGAAGAGAATCAAATGGCATATACATTTATAATTTTCTTTTTAATTTTTTATTGTGACTCGTGAAAACCCTGACTACGCCTAATGGAACCCCAGGGTTCTATGGAATACAGTTTGAAGACCACTGCTACAGAGGAAAACGAATTTTCTTTTAAAATATAAGATTTGTATGAGATATAGCAAGTATTTTCGTAGGAGTACTAAACATTTTAATTTAACAATATTGATAGACATGTTAAAACAATTCCAATATCAATAAATAGAAAATCCTCAGGAATAATAATTAATTATTGAATGGAGCTTATCATGTCTGATTTAAGCATTTGAAGTGTTTGTAATTCTTGAAATCTTTTAATGATTATTTTTATGCTTCTGCTTTGTTTTTTCAATTCCTACTATTAAATAATTCACTCTTTCCCCATATATATATATATATATATATATATATATATTCATATATTTTCATATCATTTTCAGTTCATCCATTCAAGTTCAAATACAATTTTTTAAAACTTGTAGGGGATGACTCTTAATGTTAATGCAGTTTTTTTCAGATATTAATTCATTAATTTAATTAAAAAATGAATATAAATATTAACAAAGAAAAATAATTGTCCAACAGCATATGTAGAAAGGAAAATAGGTCGCTGTGTCTCCGTAGCACAATGGATAGTGCGTTAGACTCTTAATCTAAAGGGCGTGGGCTCGAGTCCCAATTACCTAATTTCTGAGAATGTGATTTCTCTTTTATTATACTAATTTATTAAAATAGTTAAATTTAATGAATGAATAAATAGTAACAAACAAAAATAATAATAATAGTCCAACAACCCTATATAAAAAAGAAAATGGAAAATTGCAAGAAAAATCAATTTCAATTTAGTCACTTAATATTTTGATTCTGTCATATGTATATACATATTTATATTAATTGTACTATTAATAAAAAGTAACTATAAAATAAAAAAATTTCTTCGTTTACCTAAGTAGGAATTGACTTAAAAAGAAATTTATATTACTTGACATTCCTTAAAAAGTTTATACTACATTTAAAATTAAATTTTCCGGAATTATCCGTAAAATATTTTCACATAGGCAAAAAAATTATACTATATAGACTAAGCTTTGATTTAATTGTTTATTACCGTTTCCGCCCAGCCAATATAGTGGTTAGTGCTGCTGACTGCTGTGCCGTAGGGTCTGGGTTCAAATGGCGTGGATGTTTGCAAAAAAATAGTGCCTTCGCGGCAGGCGTGTACTCTAAATAGCCGTCGAACTGCAAGTCTTCTCGTGAAGTTGGTGAAAGAGGAAGAGAGGTGGGAGGTCCCTGACCACCCCTAGGGTATTCTCCCTATAAATTGGAGTGGAATCAAGCCAAAAATCGCAGTGCCACATGCATGGTGTTCATCATTACGGCTAATGAGAGACGTAACAAATTAGCTATTTGCCTCGATGAATTTCGTGTTCCTCGATCTGTCGCGCCGTCAAACAGGAATAACAACAACATTACCGTTGCACTTCGAAGTTACACTGGAGCCTATTGCTGGTGGACCATGTAATTTTCAACCATGATCAAGTGACGAGGACGATTAATTTTACATTTTATCGCAATTTGAAGCAATACAAGGACTATTTGCGATGAATTACGTATTGAAATAAGTTCAAGGGACGAGGACGACAAATGAATTGAGACACAACTCTCCAAACATCCGCGGTACACCAACATGCCCAGAACTGGAATTTACAACTCAACAATGACTGTCTAGACTCTGCGACCATGACCACTCACCTGCGATGGCCCCACTAGGCTAAATTTAGAAATTTATATTGTCTCTTATCTAATTCTTATAGATTATTTATATTTCAATAATGCTTATTAATTCAGTGTTTAATATTGCTTACATTGTACCAGTAATAAAATGTACTAAAAAAATAAATATTTCTCAATTATTTTCTTAGAAGTTTAGAATTATTAAGAACAATTTACTTATGTTATTACATGAAAGAGAAATGTGTGTAATTATTAATGAAGAAAACAAAATACGATTATACTTTAAAAATCTTTTTTAAAAAAACCGCATTGTTGAATTTTACAAACAAGAGAAATTCTTTACTATTATATATTTTTAATTAAATTTTGAACTACCAACAGTGGGTGAGTGAATATTAACGTCGCACTGTTCAGCTACTCAAGGGCTTTTGGCAACGGACCTCGTCATTTAGAACCATGGTCAAGTGAAGAGGACGTCACCTAAGCTGGCACCCCCTCTTGTGGGGGGGGGGGGGGAATTGTTTCAACTATAAAAAACCTTTTTATTTCAAATTCTTTTTTTTTTTAGATTCACACCCACAAAAGTAATACAAATAAGAATTGTTCACTCAAAACAAAACAAAAAAGATTGAAATAATAAATTTCTGTACTCCATCTATAAAGTTGAATGTATATAATTTACCACTTCTACTAAGATATTATAAATTTCTTCATATAATAACTATTGTAAATAAAAAATAGTTTAAAGTTATATATATAGTAAAATTAACAAAAAACTTATTGAATGACACAATTAACCCTCCTCTTCCTTAAAAACGTCACTAGGGCCATTAACAACCGTTCTCATATTTTTAAGTATGGTCAATTGACAAAAATGTTATCTGAGCTGATCCCACTTTCCTAACTTCTTCACGACGCCAATGAGAAAACTTTGAGCTTTGACAGATTTAATGTGCATCAGCCATGTGACAGATATTGATAGGAACCCGGATTGAAATACATATTAAATTTAAAAATAATGTAAGAAGCCTCTCTTTTATATTTCACATACGCCGGCTGGTTGGCATCGGGTTCGTCCCCAACCCATGTCAGTGGATTTGCACGATACAGAAAAGCGACAGCGTCCACGTCGCATGATTATACGGCCTGCTACCGGTCCCTATAGTGCTTGTTTGGGTTGAGGGCTCTCGGCAAAATTAAACCCCTAGTACAATTTCGTATCGTCAGAGCTCAGGCGCCTCTCTCTGAGAAGGAAACTTGGCGTTAAAATTACATTGCGTCAATTGGTATCCACCTGTATGGTGCAGAAATAAAAAGTGATACCAGCTCAACGGGGAATGTACTAGGTCTGCAATGGTAATATACCAATTCGCAGCCCCATTGGAAATTTTAAAAAAAATATTTTACGCACGACATCCATAATCTTACTTCCTCTTCATAATTCCTAAAATTTCAGACCATTTGGATTAGTATTCAAATATAAGAGCATCTTATTTTAACCACACAAAAACAAACTCTTTCTTTTCATAATGCAATCGATTTCCAAGAGAGAGATACATATTTTCTTCTTAACTAACTTAATAATCTACATCAACGTTCTACCTATTTTCACTTCTCCAAAACTGCTGCATCACATTCGATCTGTTTTCAAAGCTGAAACTGTTCTCTACGGTTCGATATATACGATATCGTAAAAATTTTGTTCAATTCAAACAACGCCTACCATAAACACGCAACTACCTTGGCTATAACGAAGGGCTCAAATGATGATGGAGTTTTAATGTTGAGACTCCTCTTTATCATACAAGGGAGTACTTCAAGCACCACTTTTTTTTATCTTTGTAATGTTAAAGGGGATTAAGTTTAAGAAACTTTAAAAAATGGACTTGTCATATAGTCACCTATTTTTTATTGCGATTTATTGTATTATTATTTATGTGAGAGCATTTTTAAAAGTTTTGGGTAGCTTTAAAAGACTCATACGTGGAGTAACATGGGCACAATTTAATAACGATGAAAATTCATGTACATTTTAACCCATAAAAATTTTTTAGATAACTTCTTTGACAAAAAATATCTTTAAAAAAAAAATTGTATAGTATTCATATGTGTGTCGTGTCAGACTGACCACCTGACCGGGACTTCTGTCCATTCACCTCAGCACCCAAGGTCACGGAAACTGAGATTGGCACAGTAAGCCTTGGCCCTCATGGGCTGTTGCGCCACTGAGTTTAGTTTTATTAATATGTCTCTAAAGTTTCAAAGTTATAAGCTGAGTAGAGTTTTTTCAAAAATGTTCCTTTTGCATAGTAGTTTACAACACAAAAGGAACTTTTGAGAATTTGAAAATTAAAATAAACACTTTTACCGTTAACCAGAGACGTCTTAAGACTTCTTGAGTCCCTGGGAACCTTAAAAGTAGTTAGTATACAACACGCACATTGTCAGATACTCGTACAAATGGTAACTCTTAGCAAATAAATATGAGTAACTTAAAATCTCACAAACCTAGGCATAAACTAACTTGACTGACTGCAGCCTTTCGGCAAAATGAGTAATGACTGTGTATGGTGGTAGGCCTAGGCATAGACATACAGATGGTCACCGCATAATAGTGCAGTCTTGCCAGTTAGCATGTAAAGTTCGAAATTTCTAGTTTTTCAGAGAATATACATTAATGTGTGTATGGAACAACATTTGACTACTATTTGGATCATGATCTTACTGAGGCTTGGTAGAGAACGAGATGAGGCCCCCATCGAAAGAGAGGCTGAGGCCCAGTTGGTCCATGCCTTAAGACGTCCCTGCCTTTAATAAAAAGAAAAATCTTCCTAGGGATCACTTCACGAAAATCAGTAAAATAACTGATTTCTCTCTCTCTCTCTCTCTCAATTTCCTTTGGAAAATAAACTATAACTTCTGCTTTAATTCAGTTTAAATTTTTACTCAAACTAAATTAGAAGTAATTTAGTAATCCAAAAACTATGTGGTGCAAGTATACATTAGTTAAGGGGAGTTTACACTTTCATTGGGATTTTGTGTACCTCCATGTAAACACTTTTTTTAGCAATTCTGGATTAAATGTTTTGATTTTCATCATTCATTCAACTTTTAAGCAAAAACAAAATACTTTGTTTACATTTTTCGCGCCATTTAAATGGGAGTGGCCCAGTTTCAATGATTATTTAAAAATAGGTTTTAAGGGCTTCTAATTACCCTAAAGGTTAAAGTAAGGTATTTTTAAAAAGGCTAAAATCTTTTTTTTTAAATTTCTAATGGGCTGCGAATTGTGGTCATTAACCATTGCAGGCCTAGTACATCCCCGGAAGTTGGTATCACTTTTTAGTGCAGCGCCCTATAGGCGGATACCAATTGCCGCAGGTAATTTTTACGCCCAGTTTCCTCTCTAGGGGAAGGAACCTGAGATCTGACAATGCGAACCTGTACCAGGATTCAATTTTGCCGAAAGCATCCAAACCAAATAGACATTTTCGGGATCTTTTACATGCCGTATAATCATACGACATGGCCGCTGTCGATTTTATGCGTCACGAAAATCCACCAACTTGGGGCGGGGTCGAACCTGCAACCTTGGGTGCAGAAAGCCAGCGACAAACCAACCACGCCACCCAGCCAGTGGGTTAAAATCTATACAATTTGAAAATGTAAAAATCTCAAAATTATTATATGAAGAAGATTTTAGGTTTCCAACACTCCTTAAGGAATAAATAAAAAATACACCGAAATGACACTAAAATGCAAAACAACAGTACATTTAATAAAAGAAACAAGTTATTGTGTTTTTTTAATTTACAGTTATTTTTCCTTGTATTTTGAGAGGGAAAATTAACAACACCTAAAAATTAATCCAAACAATTTCTTCAACTTTAACTTATTGAGATTTTGCTAAGCTATCTCCTTTGAAAGACATGAGAGAAAAATAAAGAATTC